TCCTCGATTCCCAACTATAGACAAGATTTATGATTGATTACGATTCTGATTACTCTTCAGGTCCAAGAAGACTACTGTAGTAGTTGCCATATTAAAACCATAGAAACCAAATGATAACCACTCTAAGAACTACAGACCAATACTAGAACGACTTACCTATAACAGAATCAGTCCAAATCTACTTGAATCAATACCGGTTGATCAGGCAGGTTTCCGAGCGAACAGAAGCTGCACAGAATAGGTTCTTTCACTTACCACATTTATTGAGGCAGGGTTCCAGAGAAAACGGAAAACTACAGCCGCATTCATAGAACTAAGAGCGGCCTACGATACAGTCTGGAGAGAAGGCGTGATATACAAATTCCTTCGTACAATCTCCTGTAAATCCACCGCTCGAATAATCAACAGCATGCTAGCCGACCGAACGATTCAAGTAGTCATGGGAACCGAAATCAACACCCCAAGAAAACTGAAGAATGGACTACCACAGGGATCTGTCCTAGCTCCTCTTCTCTTTGGCCTGTACATCGCTGATATACCCGAAACCAGATCAAAGAAGTTTGGTTACGCTGATGACTGGGTCCTTTCAACAAGGTGTAATGCATTTGAACAAACAGAAGAAATCCTCACCGCGGATTTACATACACCACAAACCATCGGTCACATCACAGAACAGTGTCCCACAAGATCCTATCATGGCAGGTCCACGATACACTTACAACGGTATACTACGTTTGGAATAAAAACGTGTCTTTGACGCGCAATTACGTCACGTCGATGCATCGAGCTGTTGTATGTTATGATGTGAGATAGTATTTTCAGGGTTTTGAAATCTATTTCGTAGTTTTTAGTAAATCGTTGTTTGTTGTATGTTTGAATTTGAAAAAAAAAACTATTGTTAACTATCCAAGAGGTAATTAAAAGTGCGTTAAATTATTATACCTCTTTAAAATGCCGTCGTGTACCGACGGAAAGTATTGGAAATAGAGTTCAATTTAATGCATGGAACGTCACTTTCTAAATAGAAAAAAATATTTTCATTAATAGCTGACCGTACTGTTGCCATGCTTGATAATGAAGTAATATACCTTATGAAGTTATTTATTGCCTTAGTCGTACCAGAAGCTACATAAGATTGCGAGGAATTGATAAGCAAATTAGTTTTGAAAATTGTAAAACTGGAAATAAAAATGTTAAAATTTACAAACCGTAAAAAAAAATAAATAAGTACCTACAAAGTATTAAAACATTATTCTGTTAAACCGCTTTCTATATTGAAATAAATATTCGTAAATTCCAATCACATTGAATATTTTTGATTTCATTTTTATAAAATTCTTTCAAAAGTATTTTTGTATCTCAATATCGCCGTTTCATTTACAACTGTATTCGATTTGAAGATTGTAAATTAGTAAATCCACAATGGGATAAATTAAAAATAAAAACACTCAACCTAACCAACATCAAATAACTTACGATTTGCATTGATGTGACGTCACTGAAGATGCCCGTCGGCATACCGTTGTAAGTGTATCGTGGGCAGGTCAGAGTATTTGCTACTGGCGACTCCAGAGTCGATAGACTATATAAATAAGTTAGATGTTCGTTTTTAAACATATATGTATTATGTTTTATACAAAATATATGTAAATTTAAATGTAAACGTGTCAAGTATCATACAATAAAAAAAACTGCAGTAATTTTTTGCGATGCAGTGAAATTTTGTTGATTGATTTATTTGAGACGCAGACGGGTAAAACCATAACACTAAAATAATATAAAAAAATCGCAGTCCAGCAAGGTAAAAAAATTCGTGAGAAAAGACCTGTTTTACAGACCAAAAATAAAATTATCGCTACGATAATACATCTGCTCATACTAGCGATGTTGTAGAAGCGACACTGATCAAATTAAAGTAAAATTCATCCTATGTACCAAATTTGGCAAGCTACTACTTCAATATGTTGCCAAATACTAAAAAATGTCTATGTGTAAAGAAGATTCTATGACTAAAAAACTAAAAAATGTCTGTTCTATCAAATGAAGAAGATATTGCAACCATATATGGAAATTTTGAAGGTCTTCGGAACTATAATATCATGAATGCTACATATAAAATGAGAATCGCAGTCAAAACGTTTCTGTCTGGTTGAGCTTGAAAAAGGAAGACGACAAAAGAAAAGTCATGCAAAACAAAAGCAAATTAAGAAACCGAAGAAAAAGTCTAGTTTATATCAATGATGACCTGTCAAAGAAGGACAGAATTGTACAGAAATATGTCAGACAGAAGGCGCAAGAACTAAGAAAGGAAGGGAGAAAAGTGAAAGTAGGATATAAGAAAATATATTCCGAGCAGGAAATATGGTGCTGGGATAGCATGAACCAAACGTTGGTGGTGAAGACCAAAACAAAAAACTAAGCACCAGCATTACTAATCTTTCCTATAAATTAATAAAGGACATTAATACAAAGGTAAAGCCGAAGAATGACAAGATACATTTAGCTACATGGAATGTCAGAGGAACCTTTTATGAAGGTGCGCTAAAAGAACTAATGAATAAGGAAAAGAGATATACAAAGGTACGTGGGTTTCCCCAGATGGAAGGACGGTGAATCAAATAGATCATGTTATGATTGAAAGTAAATATATGAATATCGTTCAGAAGGTAAGAAGTATGAGAGGAGCTGAAATCGACTCGGACCATTACCTCGTTAAAGTCACATGTGGGAGGAGGCTGGAAGAAAAAGAGAAATCGAACAATAAAACGAAGAGAAAGTACAATATTGAAAAACTTAAGGAAGTAGAAATAAATAAAATTGTACAACAATGTGACCAAAATTTATAGACAGATCAAGCCTGGGAACAAATTAAATCTACCGTAGGAGAAGCTAGCGAGAAAATAGTTAAGTGCGACTCCAAGAGAAGTACAAACAAAGATTGGTTTGACGAAGAGTGTCAGGCGATAGGAAAGGAAAAGAAGATCAGACAAAAAATATTAACAGATAATAGAGAGTGTAAAAAACAAGAATATAGAATAATTCGTGGAAGATTGAAAGCTCTGTGTAGAAGGAAAAAGATATACCACAATGAGTTGAAATTAAAAGTAATAGAAGAGAAGTTTAAAAACAAAGAGGTGAGGTCGTTCTATCAAGAAGTTAAAAAGATGGGAAAAGGTTACCAAAGTTACTGTAGTTATATGAGAGGTAAAGACGGAAATTTAATTAGCGATCCGGCAGAAATAATGACGGAATGAAAAAAACATTTTAAAGAATTATTAAATGGTGAGGTAGAGCACGAAGGAGTAGACAACTAGACGGTTGGAGAAGATGCGATAGTTGAAAGGCAGCCTACAGAGGAGGTGGTGGTGACAGCAATACAAGAAATGAAAAATAACAGAAGTCCTGGTAAAAATGACATATGCATAGAAATGATCAAGTTTGGTGAAGAACAACTACAAAGAAAAATATATCAGCTACTAGTGCAAGTATGGGAAAAGGAAATCTCTGCATAAAAAAGGAGACAAACTGAAGTGTGACAACTATAGAGGTATAGCCTTACTAGACACGGTATACAAAATCTTGGCAAGAATATTGAGAAATAAACTAAATTGCTATACGGAAAGAATCCTACATGAGTATCAGGCCGGCTTTAGAAAGCACAGATCTACTGTAGACCAAATCTTCTCATTAAAGGAGATACAAACGACTTGTTATGAAGGTAAAGTTTCCCTGCATGTTTTTTTTGTGAATTTTAGACAAGCATATGATAGAGTCAAAATGTATCGAGCAATGGAACATTTGGATATACCAAAGAAACTGATCCGCTAGTTAAAATGACACTAAATAACCCTAAGTGTGAAATTGCATGGCAGGGTCACATATTAGATCAATTTACGGTTGCAAAAGGCTTGAGACAGGGAGATCCTTTATCCACTACATTATTCGACTTAGTGTTAGAAACTGTAATCAGAAAATGCAGTATGAAGGTGGAAGAAACGATCATGAAAAATGAGCACCAGTGCTTGGCATTTGCTGACGATCTAACGATCCTAGCAAAACCCGAGAAAGAATTAAGAAGAGTTGTGAAGAAAATCATTGAAGAAGCACAGAAATTCGGATTGGAACTAAATGAAGACAAAACCAAATATATGATCATGAGAGGGACAGAAGGGAAAAAAGAAGACTTTAGTGTGAGGTTTGTAAGTGGTAAAAGCTATAGTTTTAAAAGGGTGGACAAATACCTGGGTGTAGTTTTCGATTAAAATGGAAACGAGAAGTGAGAGCTTGAAGCCAGAATAGCAAAAGAGAATAAAAATTAGGTAGTTTAAGAGCCCTAATAAACTCAAAATACGTTTCTAGACAAGGTAAACTCAGAATATATAAAACAGTAACCAGAATATGTTCGACCCACAGTAACATATGCCGGTGAGACATGGACATTAAATAAGAAGGAAGAGGATACTCTGGAAAGATGGGAAAGGAAAATATTGAGACGCAAATTCGGAGGACGGAAGACAGACAATGGTTGGGAGTGAAGAACCAACAATGAGTTAATGGCTTTATACATTATTAGTTCGTATTAGTACTATTATTACCAAGTTCGTCAAGTTACAAAGAATCAGATGGTTCGGACATGTGGAAGGAATGGCAGAAACCAGAATGACTAAACTAGTAATAACCAAAATATTAATCGGACCAAAAGAAGAGGTATACCCAGAATGAGGTGGATTCGTAAAGTGGAGGAAGACCTTAAACATGTGAAGGTGAGGGACTGAAAAAGAAAAGCACAAAATAGAAGCGAATCGAGAAATATTGTCCACCAGGTCCTTCAGCGTAGTTAAGAATGTTGTATGTACATATAAGTTTTGTTTAAAATAATTGCAATTAGTTAATATTAGGATAATGTTTAAAAAAAATTCCCTAGGCCTTAACGATCTGTTGTGCGTAAAAATAAATAAAATAAAGTAAAAACGTTAATTGACTGTAAAAGTTACACTTACCTTTATCTTCTATTGGATTAAACGATACATCTATAGTATGTAACGCGGATCCAAGATTTAGCTTAAGAACACTGGACAGCTTGTTCAAAAAATCAGCCTTAAGACCTAAGTTATCCAGATATATTTCTTCCAGATTGAGGGATTTACGTAAAACGTGCAAAATCCTGTCAATGTTATCGTGGGATAGCTTCACTTGATTCGCTCGTAACTTTGTAAACCACGTGTTGTATTCTAGAGCACTGATTATTGGGATTAAATCCCTAAAAAGGAAAAAAGATTAGATTAGTTAAGTGTTATTTTATAATTTAACACTACAATAAAAAAATACAATATCCAGCATTATAGTTTAAGTATTAACTTTTAATTGTTACTAAGCGTACTTTGTGATAGCGATAAAGCCTAGACCTACTTCAGGGATTTAGCGCTTCGGTCTAGACAAGCTCCTGATTTTTCTTAGGATTTGTTTGAAAAAAACATCACTTATTTGTATTCAAAATATGAGCTTCATTCATGATAACACATGAAAGTTTTTATTTTACTATCTGTTAAATTCGGTATATACTGTACAGGAGTCCAGTAGCTCGAATCCGGTATTACGGGTTGCATAACTAGTAGTTAGATATGAACACTATACTTACTTTTGATCGAGGTATTCAAAGTCCTTAAGGCTAAGCTCGCGAGTATTCAAAGAGACGTAAATATTATCAATATCCCACGCCACTTCTTCTCTATACGTCATACCGTGAAAGTCACACATGCAAGCGTATTGATTGGAGAATCCGCCGCAGGGGCCCACCTCTCTTCTGCTGCTGGCTATAGCTTCTAGATCTCGTAGTTGTTGCAGCCTCGTATTGGGAATCACCTCAATCTAAAAGAAATACATACGTTGGAAATTACTAATAAGTAGTTATTTATAAATAAAAAAATTATGCCGACTTTTTTGATTCCTAGCAATCAACATTGTTACACTTGACTAAATGACAACTATAAACTTCAAAACTCAAAATACTACTGTTATAAACTATCAAAAACATCTGTTTATATAGGAGCCGTTGAAAACCAGAGTGGTCTTAAGGTCGATTCAGACACATCAGTCTCGTCACAGTCTCGGCGCCGAACCGGTCGTGTTTGGTCACAGAACTATTAATTATCTGACAGCTGGGAAACTTTTCGTCGCCTGATGAATGTGAATGCCGGCGCCATATTTCTATTAAAGAATATTTTGTATGACGGATTGTTCGGTTCGGCGCCAGGACTGTGACGGGACGTAACTGATGTGTCTGAATCGACCTTTAGTCAAGAAATTCCGATTACGCGCTTTCTTGGTATATAATTATGTCTAACAGTGTTCTATTTTGCTACAAAATTTAAAAAATAGTGCATCCGTTCACTCACAGACGACACGACTGTGATATATGTCAAATGCTATGAAGGTTGCCGTGAAGTCTGACTTGGACCATTCTGTCAAAAAATCTGTCACGAGTTTGTTATAAGTGTCACATCTGCTTGTGGTAAAATGAGTTCTAGTGAATCAGCAAAAGAACCATTTAGTGCTAGTGATAGCGAGTCATCATCATCATTTTGGCTTTACAACCCTGTGTGGGTCCTAGCCTCCCCAAGAATTCTCTTCCAGTGGTCCCTATCCATCGCCTTCCTCCGCCAAGCACGTATTTCCATATTTCTCATATCTTGGTCTATGTTATCTAGGAATCTTGTTCTGGGTCTTCCTCTTCTTCTTTGACCAATAGGTCTATCGGGGAGCGTTTTTCTAGCTGGGTCGGTTTGCTCGATCCGCATTACATGGCCTACCCACCGCAGACTTCCTATCTTAATGTGTTTTACGATATCTGGTTCCTGGTATATTCTATAGAGTTCGAAGTTGTATCGTCTTCTCCAGACACCATTTTCATTTACCGCTACATAGATTTGCCTCAGTAGTTTTCTTTCGAAACATCGTAGGTAACATGTTTTCATTGCTTTTTGTTAAAGTCCAGGTTTCTGAACCATATGTTAGGACTGGGAGTATTATTGTTTTGTAGAGTTTTACTTTTGTATTTCTTGATATAACTGTAGATTTAAAAAGGAGATTAAGTCCAAAATAGCATCTATTAGCCGTGCAAATTCTGTGGCTTATTTCTGCGGTAGTGTCATTTTCAGTATTGACGAGCGTTCCCAGGTATACAAATTCGTTAACTGCTTCGATGACGTCGTTTTCTATAACAAGTGGCCGTCGTATTTGTGGTTGCGGACCTATTTTCATGTATTTCGTTTTATTAATGTTTATTATTAAACCCATTTTTGTAGCCGCTTCCTTTAGTGCTACATACGCCTCTCGTGCTGCGTTTTCCGTTCTCCCAACAATATTGACATCATCAGCATATGCTAGGATTTGCACAGATTTGTTATATATTGAACCGGTAGTTGTGATTTGTGACGTACGTATTACTTTTTCCAGAGCTAGATTGAATGGTACACAGGAGAGTGGGTCTATCTGACGTAGCCCGTTATTTGTATTAAAAGGTTCAGAGAGTTCCCCCTGGATTCGTACTCTGCATTCAACTTTTTCAAGGGTTAGTTTGGTTAGACTTACCAACTGATTTGGTACTCCTAGGTCTATCATTGCTCTAAATAATTCTTTTCTATTTACAGAGTCGTAGGCTGCCTTGTAGTCTATAAATATGTGGTGCGTGTCTACACCGTATTCCAGTGTTTTCTCTAGAATTTGTCTCAGGGTTGAAATCTGATGAATTGTTGATTTACCACCTCTGAAAACAGCCTGGTATTATCCTAATATTCGCTCAGCATACGGTGATGTACGATGGCATAGTATATTGGAGAATATTTTATACGCTGCATTTAGGAGCGTAATTCCTCGATAGTTAGAGCATTCAAAGATATCTCCCTTTCTGTGTATGGTGCACAGTATTCCAATATTCCAATCACTGGGAAGGGACTTCTGTATCCATATTTCTTTTATAAGCTGCTGTAACGCTATTATGATATCGTGGCCACCTTCTTTATATAATTCCGCTGGGAGATTATCTATTCCGGGTGATTTGTTTCTGGCTAGTTTGTTTACAGCGTCTTTAACTTCCAGGATCGTTGGTGGATTCTCCTCCCTCTCGTTTGCTCCGCTTACCTCACAACTTTCGTCTTCCGGGTTTTCTTCTTCTTCCTCTATATTAAGTATCTGGTTAAAATATTCCGTCCCGTGAGTCACTCGCTAGTGATAGCGAGTACGAGCCAGAAAATGACGACGATAAAAAAAACCTAGTTCTGTCCTAGTCCTAGATAGCGGTAAGTTTAATTTTTTTTTATTCCCTTTCACAACCTCAAATACGTGAATAGCAATATTTTATTTGCCCGTTTATTTCAGCTGACAAACGTCCGACGTTGGTATTGGGATCAACTACCAAGCATGTCGGCAGAAAGCGAAATAGAGAGCCAAGTAAACACATCAGGAATGTTCGAAAACAAAAAAAAAAACTGGAGAACAATATGTTGCTACCTCTAAAAAGTTGATAAATTCGAAAGAGTTTCATGGAATGTACATGCCAGGGCAAATGCAGTCAAAAAATTTCTCAGGAAGAAAGGAATACTATGTTTACAAATTGCCAGCCAGTTTGGAGCACAATATTCAGCAGCCGAGAAAACGAAGAATGGAGGCCAGATTATGTCGCAGAGCTTTTAAATAATGTTATTTCTTGTAAACTCTGTAAAAACAAACGACATGTGCATCCTGTGTAACACTAAATGGGCTATCACATATTGATAGTAATAATCTCCTTACTACGATACATTCTGTGATTTCTCAAAAGTTAATACGATTATAACCATTTTACGAGCCCCTTCCCATATCCCGTTGGCCACCTATGGAATTTGATAAGTGATGAGTCCAGATTTGAAGTGTGTGTCGGAGACAGTAGGAGTCGCGTCATATGAAGGAAAAATGAAGCATTCCATCCCGATTGTCTGAAAAGAAAAGTCAAATTTCCTGCATCTGTCATGATCTGAGGCAGCATGTCGTCTAAAGGTGTCTTTAGAATATTCTATATTGAATATTTTAGAAGAATCTCTTTTACCGATTGTGGAACACCGTTTAACATCAGCGGAAGATTTTGTATTACAACAGGACGGCGCAGGTTGTCATACCTCAAAAAAGAGTTTAAAATGGATTGAAGACTATGGCATACCACTTCTGGAATGTGTTTCTAATAGTCCCAACTTGTCCCCGATAGAGACTTTGAGGCGCGAAATGAAAAAAGCTTTGAGAAAACCTCCTACCAGGTCCGTCAACGAATTGAAGGAAAAATTGCAAGAAATATGAGATTTGTTTACATTAGAATTTTGTTAGAACTTGGTAAAAACTGCGCCTCGAATTGTGGATGCCATTAAAAATAAAGGGGATGTAACTCATTGGTGAACTTTCACTTTTTTTTTGTTAATATTACATATTTTATGCGTTTTTTTTATTTTATTAATATTCTGTTTAATCAATAGTTTTCATTACGTTATAAAATATTTTTTATAATTAGGAAATTCAAAAATGTTGTTCGATGCATTAAAACTTCTAAAATTTACGCTGCGCTTTTATTTTTGTTCTCGAAAATTTAATTGTCTTATCAATCTAACGTTGGGTCAACTGATATGGGAAGGGATTCGTAATAGCTCATGTCTGCTAAGAAAATACAGAAAACTATAAAAATAAAAATTCTTACATACTCACCTTCCTAATAATATGTTGTAACGGTACAGTAGGAAAAATATTTCTAATGGCATTGTTGAGGGCCCCTATCATATTGTCAACTTCCGTGCTACATTTCGAATCCTCCCCAACCAAAAACGAGTATACCTTGTCATTGACTGTCAAGCTTAGCTGATTTCCTCTTTTGCTTTCCAAGGCTTGGATTTCCAAGTAATGAAAGTGAGAGTCGATCTAAAAAAAACGTAATTATAGCTAAGAAATATTTATAAATACACTTATGTCACATGTTATGGGGCAAACATTACAATACCAATACACAAAAAAGAAAACGTAAAAATCGTACCATTTATAGTGCAATAAACTTGCTCAATTCTTGATTCGAAGATGTGTTACAATTAATAAAAAAACAGAATAGTAAAAGATAATTAAAGATATTTGCACTAGTAACAAAACAATAATGAAAATCACAAATGAACAAACATCGGAAATAGATATTAACTCTAGAATCCGGCAGAGAGATAGTTTAAGTCTGATACTCTTCAAATTGTAATGGACAATATCGTAGAAAAAATTAAAAATGCATGATAAGGATTCAAGCTGGTCAAAAAACAAATAAAACTCATTTGTTATAGATTCGACATAATCATACAGTGTAAGTAAAAGTTTATGGTCGGTATGGTAAAATTTAACAGGATATCTAACACAGATATAAAATCATATTTTCAGCGAATAGACAAAGATAACAATCATATTTCCCCTTGGTCTCCCCTTCATAAATCTTCTTGACGCCCATTGCCTATTAGTGAGACGATTAGTTCCGATCAGATATATTTTACATATTCTCTGGTTCCGATCCTAATATAGCTAAGAAACTAGAGGTGGATCCTCCAGTTTTTTAAATTTTTATCGGAACCGTTTTTCGTAAACTGTAACTAGTGGATTGTTTACCAGTATTCAAATTAGCGACTACACAAACATATTGGCTATTATCGTTTATGTGTATAAGTATTGAATTGAAAGAAACTAACGAAGGATATATTTATTATAACTTGAAAAATAAATTAACAATACAAATAGTACTTACATTTACATTACACATTATTAAATCGCGAATCGTCTAAATTGACATTTAAAAACATAAGTTTTTCCACTTTTCTTGTTAACCGTGTTCTTCTTTTATTTAAAATTAAACCATATTTTGAACATGTGTTCACAAGGACCAGATTTTGTTACAATACTACAATATTTTATGAATATAGTGGTTAAGTTAGGATATACATGGCGATGGTTTTTCCACCACGGTAATGGACAGTTCCAATCTCCGTTCGAAATTTTTTGTGGGTAATATATCATCAGACAAATACATGTCGACTTCTTTTATATCTCTAAATTCAGGTGTATGTATGTTTAGATGATCATGTCCAATTAATTCATCAAAAATACACCATGGACTTAAGTCATCTTTATCAGTTTCTTTTTCTTGTACTGGTTGATTTTCAAGATTTACTAAACTTAAAGACTCGTTTCATCCGTTTTCCATAGTTGAAGAACGAGCTTTTAAAAAGTTTACAGGGTGGATTCCTGGATATAAACCGCCAACAAGAAAAACTTTGTCAGGTTCATTACTTCAGAAATGTTATATCAAAACTGAGCAAATTATTAGATCACAAGTTGTTAAAGAAGTAGAAAATATCTGTATTACTACTGACCTCTGGACATCTGGAGTAACTGAGAGTTACATCGCATTAACAGGACAATATTTAACCAAAAATTTACAATTTAAAATGGTTTTATTAGGCTGCTGCCATTTTTCTGGAAACCATAATTCAGAAAACATCGCTTCTGAAATTAGTGAAATTATTAATCAGTGGGATCTAAAACGAAAAGTAAATTTTGCAGTAACTGATAATGCCTCAAAGATGGTCAAAGCTATTAAAGATGTTTTGGAATGAAAACATTTAAATTGTTTTGCTCATACGTTAAATTTATTGGTGGAGGACGCACTTAAATGCTGTCGTGTACAAATAGATAAAATAAAAAGCCCTTTTTTCGACAATTCGGCAAAAAACATATTTTAAAAAAAGTACCTTATTTTCAGAAAGGCTTTTAAAGTATCAATTACAACATAACAAAGTTCCCAAACGGCCAATCCAAGATGTGGACACTAGATAGAACTTCACCTATTATATGTTAAAAAGAATGACCGAATTAGAAGAGGCAATCCGTTCCACATTGGTATTAGTTAATACAGACTTAGACTTAGACCAAATCTAAATAAAGAACACTGGATTATTTGTTCTCAACTTTTCCTCTACGATTAAGAATGCTGAGAGGCTATGTATTTAACACGCTATTATACGGTGTAGAGGCCTGGACTCTCAAATAGAACAACATGAAAAATATTGAAAGTTTCGAGATGTGGTGCTACCGTCGAATGCTGAAGATTAGTTGGGTTGAAAGAATAACAAACTGTGAAGTAATACGAAGAATAGGAAAAGACCCAGAGATTTTGTTAACGCTAAAGCGAAGAAAACTCGAATATTTTGGTCACCTGATGAGAGGACATAAATACGCATTACTTCAAAATATAATGCAGGGAAAAATAGAAGGAAAACGGAATCCAGGCCGTAGAAGAATGTCATGGTTGCGGAATTTGAGAGAGTGGTTTGGCTGCACCACTAATGAACTCTTTAGGTCAGCCGTAAACAAGGTCAGAATAGCCTTGATGATTTCCAATCTCCGATAGGAGTGGCACAAAAAGAAGAAGAAGAACTTTTCCTAATTTTACGGCCGTTTAAAGAAATAACAAGTACAATGAGTGGCCAAAAAATACTTGAAGGGTAGTTCAGAGATTGTTATGGTACGCGGCCTGCAAGAATCTTGCAATAAAATTTTAGCAAACGGTAACTTTACATCCATAGTATCCGACGTAGTACAATTACTAATATCGGGTTTAGCAAAAAGATTTAGAGGGATAGAACAGAATCTCACATTGTCATTATGTACATTTATGGATTCACGATTTAAAGTGCAGAGTTTTTCTGATAAAAATGAAGCTAAAAAACAAAAGAAAGCGTTAAGAAGCTGGTTACTTCTATACTTAAAGAACAAGAAGATTGTACTATTGATAATCAACCAGTACAAGAATAAGAAACCGATAAAGATGACTTAAGTCCATGGTGTATTTTTGATCAATTAATTAGAGATGACTCATCTAAACATACACCTGTATGAGAGTCCATTATAACGGTAAAAAACCATCGCCATGTATATCCTAACTTAACCACTATATTCATAAAGTATTGTAAATGTTAACACACGTTCAAAATCTGGTTTAATTTTAAATAAAAAAAGAACACGGTTAACAAGAAGTAAAGTAGAAAAACTTATGTTTTTAAATGTCAATTTAGACGATTCGCGATTTAATAATAACCTATAATGTAAATGTAAGTACGATTTACTATTTGTATTGTTTAGTTTATTTTTCAAGTTATAATAAATATATTATTAGTTTCGTTCACTTTAACGATAATAGCCATTATGTTTGTTTAAGTAGATACTCTATTACTTGAAACTACTTTTAAACAATCATAGTTACTTGTTTACAAAAATCGGTTTAGTTGCGTTAAGAGCGTAGGAGGAAAATTTCAGGCCAATGCTTTTTAAATGCATTAATTTTTTTTTTGAATCCTGAGAAAACTAACAAATATTTTTGAAAAATTTAAATGCAGAATGATTACATTATTACTTATTCGTTTTCTCAGGATTCGAAAAAAATGAATGCATTTAAAAAGCATTGGCACGAAATTTTGCGCCTACGCTCTTAACGATAAAAACGTCAACGAGTTACAACGACCCACCTCTACTAGTCGTTACCCTACTTTGATTCGGTGCTTTCACCAGACAGACGTTGCCAAATAATTGTGTATGACAATTTTTTAATGTGGCATTATTGTATGCAGTTTATTATTTCATATTGGGAATAAGGCACAATGTGACTTTAAAATAAGCTTATTTTGATGTTTAGATTTTTAATTCGGAAATCGTACTTAAAATACGAAACATTAATAAATTTTATTTATATAAAACGATTTCCGAAGTGGAAATCAAAATGTTATATTACACTTATTGTAAAGTAAACTTGTGGCATATTTCCAATAAAAAACAGTAAGCTGCCATTTAAATCCATTTCGCCCAAATTTGATTATCTTAGAACATTGTTCAAATGTTAAAAAGACAACAGGTCAAATAACCTAATAAACTAATTAGTTTGGCAACGTTGAACTTCCCCTTTTTTATTATATCCTCGCATGCATGTTCGGCGATATAAAGGGCGGACCTAATATACCTCTCTCTTTTTAAACAGATGTTTCTCACTCCATCTCACGTAAGGTCCATACCGACCATAAACTTTTACCTACACTGTATACAAAAATACATTAAATTCCAAAAAAAGGGTGGTTGACACTCTTTCACTAAAATTGTATGCCTTTCTAAAACTGACAATATAAATTTTATTTTATTTAACAGATTTATAAAAAAAGCTTACCTTGGTTGGCACTTTTGCTGTAAGTAGAAGTATCCTGCATGGTGAAAATACCTACAAAACATTAAATATTAAAAATACATAACATGAAATTAATATAAAATCTTTATACTGTGTGTATCAGCCAAATGAAATAAATTCGATTAGAAATAAATGGCAGCGTCTTTGAAAAATACTCAGACATGTCGATTCGTCTTATTTGTTACCTATTTATTCAACAAAAACTTTTTATACAGGGTGCGTCATGTAACAGTGGCTGATACCAAATTTCTTATTTTAAATACGACATCCTGTATATTATCTATTTTTTAGATTCTTCGGAACTTTGTACACATATTATCATTATTATTATATAACAAATGAGGGCATAGGATCAAGCTCTATTATGCCCAAAAACAAAGAAAAATATCCTTATACAACTAAAACCAATTATAAAGTTACAATTAAGTATGTCATACAAAAATTGTGAAACAATAAATAAATAGTGCACTCCGAAAATACCACAATCGTATAAATAAAATAAAGCGCTATCAAGTTTATTTTTTAAGATGTTAACACTAGTTGCCGATATGGTGTCTTGATCCAAATTGTTCCAGATATTAAATATTCTATTTGGCAAGAAGTTAACCATGGACATTGCAGTTGTTTGTTCCCTCTTTAGTTTGTATCGATATCGATGGCCTCTTAATATTTCAAGTAATTACTATTTAAATGGGAATAAGCCACAATTAAAGGTAAATATACGTTTATTGACGTTTCAATTTCCACTTCGAAAATTGAAATTTTGTTTTTTTGTTACTTAGTGAAAAATTCTTCTAACAATTTAATTTTGTCTGACTCTTTATATTGACAATTCAGACATACATTATACATTTTAAAATAGACGACTTTAAAATGATATTGCCAATATTGTTGAGTTGCGCTCCTGGGACGACTTTACTTATAAGATAGTTCATTTGATTACATGAAATCAACTTTAACTTTAGTTAGTGATTCCATAGTAAATTATGAGGGAAAAACCAGGAAAAAACCTCATAATACTATCCCGACATGGTAAGTATTTGGTCGTGCTTTTATTTTACTTTCAAGCAACACCAAATTCTGATTTTATATGTTTGTTATTTAAAAAACATAAATGATGTATCCTCCATATGTTACCGACTTACTAATACTGGTATTTTCTTTTTAATAACTTCCTCTTTCAATATGGGTAAACAGATCCTACTACATTCTGCCGAGGAATTTGATCTCGTTTTTTAAAACTAAGAGTTTTTTTATTATTTTTATAGAGTAAAACCACCGTTTGGGTTGTTAGATTAATAGTGATGTTAACGTAGATGTTTACAATATATGTAAGTTTATTCTTAAAAGTTTTTATATTTGATTATATTGCTGTGCTTTTTGTTTGGCGCCCACATGAAGTGGGACCAATTTTCTCGACTGACCTATAGATTGATGAGTATTTTTAAAGTTCGTTTTTGTATTGGTAATACTGTTAAGGACAAGCAATTTAATTTATATAACCATTATAATTCTTCTATTTGATTTGAAGTTTACACAATTTTCATGATTCATAAGAATTATATTTATATTTTATAAGCAAAGATATTGGTATATGAGCAATATCTGTTATATAGTTGAAGCTGTTAACATTTTAATACATACCAAAACTCATTTATGTACGAATGATAATCATTTTGCTTCACCCCTGACCCGCTTATAATAAAAAATTGTCAATGATTTCACATTTATTTTTCAATATAGTCTCCATCAAGTTTTTCCATCTATATTGTAGCATTTATAATGTTTCTCAAAAAAAAAAAGTTCAACCTCTACAAACCGCTGATTTACTGCATATATGACACATTATCTGAAGAAAATGCAATTTTTCTTTTTCTTATGGTGCCTTTTCTTATGGATGTTGACAGCTGCCGTAAAAAGCGAAAATGCAATTTTTTGTCCTTTTTGTTGCTTGTTAGGTTTGGTTTTGGACAAAATAGATCTCAACGTGTTTGTTGTTTTGAATGTTGTTAAAATGTTGAATTTATTTCCTATCCTTTTAAATTTTTTTGATAATCCTTTTATGTATGGTATCGTTATTTTCCTTGATTGATTGTTGAAAATTCCTTATTTATAAACGATAATCATTTTTTAATAAAACAGATGTTAACGAATGTTTCTCCTCCAAGAATGAATTTTCGTTAGAACAAGTAATTTTGGTTATATCGTATAAGGACTTAATGATTCCCTTTTTAATATTAATATTGCGATTTGATTTAAAATTTAAATATCTGTTAGTGTGTGTTGGTTTTCTATACACCCGAGTCTCATATCCAGTATCGTTCTTAGAGATTAAAACATCCAGGAAAGGTTTTTTTTTATTTATCGTATGGCACTTGACATTTAAATTTACACATAATTTGTATAAAACATAATACATATATGTTTACAAACGGACATCTAACTTATTTATATATTCTATCGACTCTGGAGTCGTCATTAGGAAATCCTCTGACCTGCCTTGATGGGACACTGTTCTGTGATGTGACAGATGGTTTGTGGTTGTCCGCAGTCACAGAGTGGGGATGGTCGTTTACCTCATTTGTGTATCATATAACCGCATCTGCCATGTTTGGTTCTGATTCGGTTCAACATAGTCCATGTGTTGCGTGGTAAGTCAAAACCTGGTGGTTTTTGTGTGATGCAGGGTAAGCTGCTATTTTGTTGTTCGATCCATTCTCGAGTCCAAGTGGTCGTTAAGTTGAACTCATTTTCCACTGCAATCTGTGCTGTTTTTATTGGCGGTCGCCGGGAGCGCAAACGGTTACCGTTGGTCAACTAAAGTCAAATTCCACTATTTAGAAGAGTGATTCATTGTTTAAAGGCGGTGAAGTGGGGAAAGACGTATGAAAATCCAGTGGCGTACACTCACTTTTTTTAACGTTAATTATATTATATTTTTCAAATATTATTGTTCGAAATAGGCCATAATATATTTATTTACAAGTTTTTATTGACGTTTCGATTTCTATATCCAAAGTCCGCTTTCAAAAATATAAATGATAGTTATATTTTTTTTATTTGTTTATTATTATATATTTTTATAATCTTATATTATTTATTTTCTTTTTTTATTCTATCTTTAAAAACGGTCTCTGGAATAGAGATCGAAAGGTCAGTGTATTAAACACGTAAATAGATATATTGTGGTTTATTTCCAACCTTATCCCTAAAAATTCAGAATGCCACAAACACAATATATAGTATAGGAAAACAAATATATGTCATTTGTATGTTTAAAAACGGTCTCTTTATAGAAATCCAAACGTCCGTAAATTAAACATTTGAATAAATATATTGTGGCTTATTCCCAACATTATTTCTAAAAATACAGAACGACAAGCAAAAAGCCATAGAAAATAAATATTACTATCATTTGTATAATTGAAAACGGTCCCTGGATATAGAGATCGAAACGTCAGTAAATAAACATATGAATTCATATTTTGTGTGGGTAATTCCCTACATTCCCCTAATCTTTTGCAGTTTCATCCACAGCATATTTAAGATATTCACTTTTCCTTAACCGTGCAATGTCAAGTAGCTGAATTTTGAGCATTGATTCTTCGTATGCAATCCCCTTTTCTGTAAGCCATTCTTGAATTCTCCCTTTCCGCCATGCCGTCGTCGGTAATTGTTCTAGTCTGCGGCTATGGTATGGCGCATTATCCATTACAACCACAGACCCAGGTTCCAATTTTGGTAAAATTCTCTTAAACCAGCGCTCAAATACTTCGGAAGTCATTTCTTCATGGTAATCACCTGTTTTTTTTTTCGACTCAAATTGAAGCAAACCATCATCAAGGAACCCTGTATCACTTCCTATATGGGTGATGATTAAACGCCGTCCCTTTCCTGATGGAGCTTTTAATCCTGTAGACCAGCCTTCTATAAATGCTTCGCGTTTACTTTTAACATTTAAATCTTGCCAAACTTTTCCAACTGTATGACCTTCGTTAATCCAGGTTTCATACAAATAATATATTTTGCGCCCAGCGCTGCGAATTTTGCGTATTTCTTCTAAATATTTTCTTCTCCACACAATAATTTCATTTTTTTCTAATAGCATACTTTTTCCATTGCGTTTCATATATCGAAAGTTCATTTCGCGCATGGTCCTGATTAAGACTCTACGACATATCTTGGGTAAAGCGTCATCGTTTTGGAGCTCTTGAGAAATTTTTTTCAGTGTTGGAATTTCACTCCGAAAATAAAATGAATGAATTTTTCTACGTATAATATTTCTTGTCTCGTCATCTAAAACAATGCTTTTCCTACCTCTATTTTTACTTTTTTCTTGCTTTTGATTTTCCGATGTATTTGTAATTACACGATAAATACAGCTAACGGATACTTTTGTTAAGCTGCTACAAATGTCGACCGCTTGGCTAATATTTAATGCCATTTTTCAGCCGACAATTCCTTCATAAACGTTTCGTATCATTACCTTCTCTTCGGACGTTAACATTTTCCGTCTCTTTTGCGACTTTTCATTTTTGGAATCAACATCAGAATTTTGTTTTCTTTTCTTGGAACAGCTCGGTTTTTCTGTCCATTGTATAAACCAAAACTCCAATAAAACTCAAATCAAATAACCACAGAATATAACTATGTAAAACTATACAGGGTGAGTCACGCTCAACGGGACGGAGCCTACCGGGGAAACGGCTAAAGATATTAAAAATTTCTTTTGCAGGAATACGTAGGTTAGTACCGGCTACAAATTAAAATTTGTGAGATATATACAGGGTGTCCCAATTTGGCGTAATGATATAAACTTATACTTTTTTAAATATAACAACATATATTTCACTTTAATTTTGAATTCTACTGAACAAAATAATGTTACTTTATTTAACACTCCCTATACCTATTTTTGACCGGTTTCGATTTATTTGGGTTTTTCTGAAAATGTACTATTCGCGAAATTAATTAATTACACAATATCGCATGAATTTTAATTAACGCCTTTTTGTCAGTTAATTGTCAACTGT